GGGGGCAGCCTGGCATCAAATAGGGCTTTTAAAATAACCCGCGCACCGACGGGGGGGGGATATCCGCCCCCTGAGGTTTCGCGAATAGCGGGAAAACCGCGGCGCGTAGCGCCGCGAAATTTGGTATGACTATTCCTTATCATTTTACACATGGTGTGCAAGTTTGAACCTCCTACCTTTCAAGGTCAGGTCACCAGGTCACTTTGAATGACCAACCTCAAGTCACTTTTTGCAACTTTGTCACCGTGCCGAGCTACAGTAGATGTCGGAGGCCTTTGAAAGTCGCAGGATGTTATTAGGTCATTAGTAGCTACAATTTGTATATCTCGGAATTTTGATATCGGTGACCTAAGGTCAGGTCAATTTCGCGACCTCCCCATTATAAGTCAATGGGGGAAAAATCAACTCCCTGTTTTTACCACTAAAACGGGTCGGAATGGCCCCATATACCATACATGACTTCATATACGATCAACCTTCACTACCTTGAGGTCTGTTTTGCTGTTGGGCACCTGTGAGGTCATGTGACGTCATCAAAGGTCACCAAAGGTTTTTGGCCAATAACTCCGTACAGGAACAAGATACAGACGCGTGGATGGTCTCATTGTGTTCAGCTCGTCAAGACGCATCGAATGATATACATGATGACCTCGAGGTCACGTGACCTGAGGTCAACCTTTGACCTTGACCTTTCGAGGTCAACATATATATCATTCGATGCGGATTGACGAGAGGATCACGATGATGCCCTTAGTTTGTTCCTATCTTGACTAATTCGAAAGTTATTCGAGAAAAACTCTCTCCATATTTAGCGCCGCCATTTTGACTTTTTCGACCCCTGTGACGTCATCTTTGACCTGACCTGAAAATGACCTTAGTAAAAATTGTAGATCTTGACCGTGCGTATCCGATGCCGTTTACCGCTTGTCGCTATCTTGCTTCGTTCTCGAGATCTCAGGGGGGGCGGTCATCCGCCCCCCCCCCCGTCGGTACTAAGTTGGCGCAGACCCCCGTCGGTGCGCGGGTTAAAAAGAAGACGGCTGAACAGTAAAAATTTTTTTTGTCGCCGCTCACTAACCAGCTCATTAAAAAGAGAGAACTCCAAATATAGGACTAATTGGCTAGAGAGCGAATTGGCGAATTGGCTAGAGAGAGAGAGAGAGAACTTTTGCTTTTTTTAACCCTTTCGCGGGTCTGCAACCACGGATGCATTCTGTTAGCGGGTGCAAGTGAGTGCAACCGATTTTTTTTTCGTATTCGGGCACGGGTTTCCGGATTTTACAACAAAAATATGTGGCAGTCGTGCCGATGACGGCTGAAATGATTAACTTTGCAATGAAACAAAGCTCAACAAATCCTCTGCGAGTAGGTCGGCTTTCGTTGACTACATGCCTACTGCCATCACCAGTTAGCGGACGGCGACTCCCACCTCCCCCCTATCCCTCCGCAGTCCGTAACCACTCCCCTCGCCACGCCGCGCTGGCTGCCTCCGCGTGTCAGGCTTCGGTCAGTGCTTCCAGTGGCTCTCAAACTTTTCCGCTCAACCGCGGCTGGGACAGGCAGCGCCTTCCCTCAGAGTCGCCGATACTTTCAAGAGAGACTATACGATAGACGGGGACTGTGTCTGTGTTACGCTGCTCGTTATTTTAATGAGCAGCATGATTAATTACCCTCTTACGCCGAAGAAGACAGCGTGGTGGTTCCCGTCTATTTCTACATCTTTTTGCGACTTAGCTGCGTTTTTCCGCAGCTCCCCTCTCTCTCTCTCTCTCTCTCTCTCTCTCTCTCTCTCTCTCTCTCTCTCTCTCTCTCTCTCTCTCTCTTTCTCTCTCTCTTTCTCTTTCTCTTTCTCTCTCTCTTCTCTTCTCTCTCTCTCTCTCTCTCTCTCTCTCTCTCTCTCTCTCTCTCTCTCTCTCTCTCTCTCTCTCTCTCCCTCTCTCCTTTCCAGCTAAGGAGCCGCTCCCTCCCAGCCCCTGTCTCAGACGCGCCATTTCCTCACCCCTCCCAGCCGGCTACCCCAGCTGGCCATCTAGGCCTCCAATGCTGAATATCCCGGCCCGTAATACGGGTGGTCAGATCGGAATGTAAATGGGCTGATTGGACCGGTATCAGACGGCCATCGGACCGACCAATGATTGGGGTTTTACGGAGGATACCTTCTGCGGGCGAGCACCGGGGGCCCGGATCCTTGGGGGGGGGGGAGGGACGGGGGGAAGGCTGGATGTGGCGGTTACATGAATGGCTGGGTTGGATGATTTTTACGGTGATCGAACGATTGATTTATAAATTGATTTACTAAATTTAGTAAGTTACTGCCGAAAAATTTTGATACTACTTGTTGGTCGTTTTTATCATCGCGTACCTAATTCTTATGCTCCCCGTTTTGCAATAAACTTACCTACAATTTTAGGTATACATTGTTCAGAGTAAAATGACAATAATATTCACGAAATTACGAACCAGTGCTGTTTGTTTCACGATTATATTTCTCGCTGATATGCTCGTATAATCTTCATGTGTGATGTGATGCAATTCATCTCTGAACCGTATGTACTGATTCTGATCTCTGATCACGCACATCTCTGAGCCGTAATTAACCCTAAAAACCACCTAACTGGCCCGTCGCTCGTCAGGTGATTCTGAACAAGGGCCACGACAGGGCGGTGGACTACTGGAGTCTGGGGGTGCTCATGTATGAACTATACACCGGAGCGTAAGTAGACGGAGGGGTTACGGTCTATGGGAGGACGGTCTAGCAGAGACGATCACGGTCTTTTGAGGACGGTCTGTGAGGTGTCTATTAGCATAGACGGTCACCGTCTATTGTCAATGGAAAGGAAGTTTGTGGGACGTGTCTAGTAGCATAGACGGTCGTGGTGTATGAAGATCATTCTATGGGGTGACACCGAAGGGCAGCGTCTATTGGAGTACTGGGGTCCTAGGAGGCGCAAAGCTTTTTTATTAGATGGGTGACAGGAGTCAAAAACAAAGTTTGATGATTGTTGTGAAACTGAGTGAAACTTTGACTATGAGTGTAATGTGTATCGTTAAAATGTCTTGTAAATCCACCAAACTGGTGAGGTGGCTTATCACTACCGACAAAATACCCTGTGTAGTAACGATTCCAGTGACACCCCACCAAGAAATAACGCGCTGTACCATCCGTTTTCAGTCCGCCGTTCTCGGCCTCGGACCCGATGAAGACGTACAACATCATCCTGAAGGGGATCGACATTATCGACTTCCCCCGGAACATTCCCAGGTCCGGGGAGCAGCTCATCAAACGGCTCTGCAGGGACGTGCCCACAGAGAGACTCGGTCAGTGAAGGAGAGGGAGAGGTGGGAGAGAAGGCTGAAGAGGGAGTACGGAATAGGGAAGAGAGTTGTTAAAGTTTTTTTTTCTTACATGTTGTCTTTAACCGAACTGTCACATGATGAGAGAATATTTTAAAAGGCTTGCCATTGGAACCAAGGTTAACCCTCGCACGACCAGGCCATTTCTCATAACACGAACGACCAGGGGGGGTTGTTACGACCCCCCCCCTGGCGTTTCGAAACGGAAGGTCGTAGAGCTTAGCGGAAAAAACCAACGGATTGCTCTCAACGAGATCTCGCGATTGGTGGTATATTTTTTGGTCCTAGGTCAACATTTGACCTACTTATGACCGGTCAAAGGTCAAATTTTCCGAAAAAATCAAACTTTTTCAACTTTCCGCGGCGATTGCGGCAAAACGGTGGGAGATATCGACTTGAAACCTTCACTATCGTGTTCCTTGATCAATTCTCTATCGTTTGGTATGTATTTCGTTTCCCTAGCTCTAAAAATGGCGCGTTGGGAGCGCCGGAAGTCGGCAAGGTCACAGTCGGCGGCAGAAATTCGAAAAATCAAAATTTAATTTTTTGAAATCTGATTGTATTTTTGGATTTGGGAGGTCCATTTGCTCCCTATAGAAGCTAATATTGCTGCATATTCCCATTGAGGTGACAAGAATTAGCAAAATAGTGGTTCGGGCGCTTTTCAAAAATAGTACCGGACGCTGTTCCTCTTGTGACGTCATAGCTCCGTGACCTGACCTGACCCGGTCAATTTTCTTGCACCACACGATAGCCAATGCTTGCCCCAACATGCATGGGAAGTTTCATCATGATCCATCAAACAATGTGGGTATCACCGGCAGAAAACCTAGGGATTCGGCGCACACGTTTGGTAACTGTCGGCCGGAGGCTGTACCTCTTATGACGTCATAACTCCGTGACCTGACATGACCTGATCAATTTTTTTCGGCAAAAGATGCGCAAAGGTTGCCCCAGAGGGTATTGAAAATTTCAGCCCGCTACGACAAGCCGTTTAGCGTGCACTTCGAAAAAACCTCAGGGGGGGGTTGATACAACCCCCCCCCCCCCTAGGCGTTCTAGGGTTAAAATATGCGATTTATAATGATCAAAGATAGTTTCAAATTGACAATTACATACAAGATAAGAATGCTAACGTCGAGTACCCGAAGCTTGCCAAATTAGCCTAGCTATTGACTCCCCGTATTTTTAATGTTGCTACCTTGCCGCGACCAAATCGTTGCATTATATTTCGTGCTGGAATCGAGTCTAGAGAACGGTTTTCGGATCCCATTTCTTCCGATGGAACCGACCACATTCTTACATTATTCGCTCCCCACTGACTGATCTCTCCCTTTGCCAGGCTACCAGCGGAACGGTGTGGAGGACATCCGGAAGCACCGGTGGTTCCAGGGCTTCGACTGGGAGGGTCTCCGATCCCGACAGCTTGCCCCTCCTATCATACCACAGGCGAGTCCTTTAGAGAAGACGATTAGAGAGAGCGAGCGATGAGCGTGGAGGCATGAGGAGGTTATGTTTATATAGAGCGGACGTTGTTGTTGGATGGAGTCATGGGAGTGCTAATTGGATAACTTTGTTGGTTCTCATCTTAGCTGCCACGATGTGTTGCATTATTTTTGGTGTTAATTTCAGGTTGTGCCGCAAGTTTGGGCTACAATTTACTATGTCAAGCAAGTTGGTGACTAATGAATAATTAGGCTCAAAACTTGCGATGAAATAAACAACTAAATTTAGGCTTATCGCTGAAGAAGATGCTCTGTTAGCACTTCAGCCGTCGCTTGATTCTCGTGACCTGTATGTTTATCGTGACCCGTTTTCGTGACGTGTCTCTCGTCTACTACAGGTGAAGGGTCCGACCGACGCGTCCAACTTCGACTGCTATTCGCGGGATCTGGAGACACCCCCGGACGAGCTATCCGGCTGGGACGAGGACTTCTGATGGCCGCTGGACGCTCTATAGGTGGCGCTGCGGTCGCCCCTATAGGTGGCGCTGCGATCGGCGGTATAGAGGACGCCACCGTTGCGCGCTCCGATCGGCGCCCTGCTTCAAGCTCGTGATTGGGTCGCTGTGGTGCCGTGACGCGGGAAGGGCAGCCGCAGAGCTCAGGTGTTGTATAGGGAGTTTTGTCCTAATTTAAAAGCAGACGCACCAAAACACGTGCCTAATGGGACCGGTGACCGCGACGGCGGCCGCCGGGCTGCTTTCGAGTTTGTGTGTGTTCTCTCACCAAAGAGCGAGAATGACGAGTTAGTGAGTGACGAGTTAGTGAGTGTGAGTTTCAGTGCTTACAGTGATGGGTGCTGCGGTCAACATGTGTATGTGATAGTATGCGCGTGAAAGTGGTTATCTATACGTATATGGTGCTGTTAGAACCGGATGATTGAAATGTACCGGATGTATTCGCTGGCTTGGTGTCAGGCCGCAAATGTTGATTGATGTGAGTCATTTATAACACTGGGCTAACGTGTGGGACTGGAGAGACATGTTTATTTTTTGAAGTAGTGTCGTGATAAGCTCCTCTATATCGTATCGTTGACTGGATGTGTTTTCTAGCTATCTGGCGTGTGTAAACCTGCCTAGATCCGGACTGATTCGGATAATTCGACAGGTTTTGTGTCAGAAAGTCGTGGTTTAGGCGTTGTACTAGCGATATTTCGCGAGAAGGTCGCTATCTGGAGGATTTCTGCTGATAAATCCGTGTTCGCCGATGCCAGATGGAGACTAGTGGCCAGCTGCGGTAGACGGTTGTTGCACGTGCGGAATTTTATCTGCGTGTTTCTGGCGTGATGGCTGCCGGTGATTTGCGTCCGATTTCAATCACGGTTAATCCCTAGTGATGAGTCACCAATTGTGGGCGTGGTTTCACCCACCAATCAGTTGCCGTGGTTTTCCGATGGGAGATTTTCGTAGCCTGCCTGTTTTAGATGCGATAAACTTAAATTCTGAACCGTGTTTATATGAGAAAAGGCCTGCTGATTTTCGACAATACGCTTTTCGAGCTCTCTCCTACCTTTATGACACGTTATGAGACAAAATTGTGCTTAATCTGGAAACCTCGCTGGCTGTTCCACTAATCTACGGGCCTGATAAATTCGGAAGCCTTTCGCTTTAATTTAATAGCCTTTCTTCTTTCACCCCTTCCCCGTTATAAATTATATCATTTCCCAGAATTGTTTGGTTTGAGCTAAGCACCAAACCATATCCAGTGAACCAAGTGCTAACCGGAACATTTTCACGCTGTTCCAAGCAAAGCGACCAGTTAGCAGCATTGCCCGGGAATCGAACCTGGAAGATGACTTCCCAGTTCCCACACTGCACTGGGACAGTTTCGTGAACAGGCAGGCTAACTGGTCGCTGCCAGCACGCTGCCAGCGCATTTCGCTAGCTGACGTCACAGATCGTGGTAATGTTGGAGATACGACTTTGTTGATGCCTCCATTGAAACCCAATTTGACACGTGTAATCATAGAAATAGTTACCGTATAATAGCAGCGTGCTGGCAGCGGCTGCGAAACAGGGCCCGTCAGCGGGCACATGACGTCATCGGTCTTGACGTTTCACTATGTGACGTCACCGCCCCCGCGTCTGTGATTGGCTGTAGCGTAGTGCCGCCACAACCCGCCAACCCAAGTGACCTTGACCGGCCACTGCGCATGCGCAGTAGGTACGCTGTCTGGAAAATTCGGCCGGCCATCGACGTTTTGGCTGGGGCTCTGCTAACTGGCGGATCAGGATGGGTGATGGAGGGATCGTGAAAGGTCAGTTCTATTTGTGACAGGGACGTAGTCAAGGGGGCACGGGCGCCATGCGCCATGCCCCCCCCCCTTAGCCCGCGCCGAGCTGGTGCTCTGAAACTTCCGTGCCGGGCCGGGGGGAGGGGTTCTGAACACTCCCCCCCCGTGTAATTCGGCTCCTGGGCCACGTGGCGACACGCGGTAAGACTGTAAGAGGTATTCGAAAGTGCGTCAAAAAATGACGGAAACACTTTCAGTCATTTTTGGGTCAGGTCAAAGGTCAGGTCGCCAGAGGTCATCAAAGGTCAAATGTAGTCTATTTCAACAATTTTGGAAACTGCCAACGGCTAACTCGAGAACCAAGAGAGCTATAGCACCGCGGAAAAGCGCATTCACGGTGCGGGATAACCCCGTTGACCGTATTTTTTTTGGGGGGGAGGCTTTTGGCATGGTGGAGGGCCCAGTTCGCAAGTCGTGTCACGTTGCCCCTCCCGGAGGGGCACCGTGAATGGCATTCTAAAATCCTGTGTGCGCGCCTGCAGGGTCATGAAATTTTCAGGGTAGGTGTAAAATTGATAAACGCGCGGGCACTGGAAAGTTTGGTCATCAGTTTCGTCGCGATCGGCCGCTTTTTACGTTTTTTTTTTTTTTTACGGTTTGGTGCCTGTAGGGGAGAGCGGGGCCAGTTGAAACACGGGGTCAGATGAAACATGGCTTTATTTTCAACAGTATGCAACATATGGCGTTGCCGACACCACTGCGCATCCGCGCTCGACCACTTCCTTTGTCAACGGCGTTTGGGCGGCAAACGGACGGTAATTTTGATTTTACACTTGTTTTTGTGTTTTTGAGGGGCGCGTTAGGCGGCACGGGCGGACATCGATAGCAGCGCCTCTATCGGTCACTAGGGAAAGCTGGACTGTAGGCGACGAAATACCGGCTGGGTTGTCACACGTTGAATAGGTTTATAGACATCCGTCTTGTGAAAAAGTTAAACTTTTGCCTTCAATATTTCTACAGGCAATTTTAGAAGTGTCTTCAGATAGATTACAAAACCGTTTAGATTATTGTATTCACTTCAAGCCTTCCATATTGTTCTTGACGATGATGCGGGAACTATTTCTAATTAGTGTTTCTAGCTTAGTAAGAGAACATATCGTGCAAACGATGAAAAAAGCATAAATGGAAGATTTTAAATGCAATTTTCTCTGGCAATTAATGGTTAATTCTCTACAGATCAAGGAAAAGGTGCATGCTAACTGATAATTTTAAGTTCTTGGGGCCAGTTGTTTTCTTCTTTTCTTACGTCGCCCCAATGGCCGCGAATACACTCGTGATAACGCCTATCGGTTTGGGAGAAGTCGTTTTTATGAATATTTTGTGATATCTCATATACCTTTGTTTGCTGAAAGAAGAACTCCTGGCTCCGGAATAACACCTTACTTGGCCCTTCATTCAGCATGATGCCGTCCCTCCAGCTCGTTTGACATGTGCTTTACGGCGCGTGCGAGATGGCAGGAGCGGATGGGGTCAATTGAAACGCTTCTCTGAGGGTCAGTTGAAACAGGGCCACAGGCCGTTTCAATGGACCCCGGTGACCTTTGCAATGGTTATTGTTCAGGGCTGTAAACATTAAAGGAAATAGTCCACCTTTGAAATGAGCTTTTAAACTGAAATAGTAGTTTCATAGAGCTCAATTTTTGACCCCTTTTTCTCCAGCCTTTTGCTTGAAAGCACACTATAGCCTGAGATATTTCTCATTTTCCTCATCCGCCCATTTTACCATATATGGTATACTTAGACATATACATAGACTATAGTCTATGTATACTTTATGTCACCTATATTATGAGGAACTTTGCACTTTTAGCTTTCCAGCGACCTATTGAAAGTAGCATTTGGAAAAGTAAACCATACAAAATATCTCCTTAAGAAAGTGGCCTTTAAGAGGAAAACATCCCATAGGTGCAATTGACCCCATGGGCTGGTTCAATTGACCCTCGCATCGGGGTCATTTGAAACGGGCGTAGAGCTGTTTTATAAGCATGCGTTTGGCAGCAAAATATGTTTGAAACATAATTTTACATATCTTAAAATAAAGCCAAAAGAGCATATTTTTTCATGGCATTGTGCATTTTTCGATATGACAACTAGATCTCGCTGTGCATGTCAATATATAAAAAGTGGTTCAACCAGTGACGTACCCAAGGGGGGGGGCACGGGGGCCAAGGCCCCCCCCCCCTGAGCGCCGAAGGCGCTCAGGGGGCCCCTCAGGCCCCAGGATATTTTTTTAAACACTGGATAAAACGTCTTTTACTCAGAAGAAAAATTGATATTTAAGTTTCATTTATGTGCCCTGGGTACCCGAGGGGCCCCTGCAGTCATCCAAGGGCCCCCAGTTTCCTGGGCCCCTGGTCGCCTAGGGGGCCTCTGGTAGCCGGGGGCCTGGTCTCATGGGGCCCCTGATAGCCTGTGGCCCGTAGTCGCCTAGGGGGCCCTGGTCGCATGGGGGGCCTCTGGTCGCATGAGGCCCCTGATCGACTGGGGGCCCCTAGTTGCCTAGGGGGCCCTGATAGCCCGGGGCCTGGTCGTATGGGCCCCTGATAATCTGTGGCCCCTAGTCGCCTAGGGGGCCCTAGTCGCATGGGGGGTCTCTGGTTGCATGATATTGAGGCCCCTGATCGCCTGTGGGTACCTAGTCGCCCAGGGGGCCCCTGGTAGCCGGGGGGCCTGGTCGCATGGGGGCCCCTGGTTGCCTGGGGCCCCCGGTCGCCCCTAGTCGCCTGGGGGACCCTGGTCGCCTTGGGCCCCTGGTAGCCTGGGATCCCCTGGTCGCCTGGGGGCCCCTGATCGCCTGAGGGCCGCTGGTCAACTAGAGGGCCCCTGGTAGCCGGGGGCCTGGTCGCATGGGGGCCCCCTGGTCGCCTGGGGGCCCCTGATCGCTTTGGGGCCCCCAACCTTGGCCCCAAAGGCGTCATTGGCTAACACAGGGATGTGGGTCGATTTGCAATCGCATTTCCTCCTACCCAGTAAACATGACGACGTCGGCCCAACGTCGGTTCAACCTCGGCCCGACATCGGCTGGACGTCGGATATGCCCGCATGTTCCGACGTCCACCCGAAGTCCAGCCGACGTCGAGCCGACGTCGGGCCGAGATCGTTTGCCGAGGTTGACGAGATCGTTTGTCGTTGGACCGACGCACAGTGGGCCAGGCGCATCAAAAAAGCGGAATTAAGTCGAAAATCAACTTCGGTGAAATTCCTGTAATTATGGGATAGAGTATTGTAAAAATGTCCAAAGTTTCCGAATAAGCAAGTTTCCTTTCCCCAATGTCAAGGCAGATAATGCTATAACGTCGCAAAGTAGGACTTACCGACTGGAGATGGAAATGACTGCTGTGTACCATATTCCGTTCCCCCGCTTCAAAAGCTCTCAGTGTAAAATCATTAAAGTAATTTCGTACAAAATAGCTTTAAAAAAACAGCCGGTATTTCTGCGCATGTTTCTCGTACTCAAGTTCCCGGGAACTATTTCATGCTTACTAGTAGCGGTGGGGTTTACAGTGCCTGTTCGGAACCGTGGTAGTGCAACGACGCAATGAATTTATATAAGGATATAAAGAAAACGTCACCGAACAACACGAAGATATTTGCTGCCTGACTTTCCTCAAGGTGTATAGCTTGCTGCCCAATGCAAATATTTTGCGCATTTTTGCGCGAAATGGACAAATAAGGGTTTAACCCTCGCCGGCATAGGCCGTTTTGCATCCTTCGACGGCACAGGGGCATGCGACCCTCCTCGCGTTTGGCCCCTAATTGAGCTAGAGCCTCGCGGAAAAAAACCATCGTGTAGGTCGTCACGAGACGAAGCCAACGGTACCCGGTTTTAAGGTCATAGGTCAAATGGTGACCTCTGAGGTCAGGTCAATGGCCGAAAGTCGGGACCTGTTAGAACGTCGTATAGCGTGGCTGCTAAGGGGTTTTTCGGGATGCTGATCACGAATATCATGTTACTTTTGATCACAGATGATGTCTTCATGCATTTAGGCCAGGTCGGGTCAGCTCAGGTCAGGTCAACCAGTACGGGTCCTGCCGGGTATTCGTAGTAGGTGTCAACCCGCCTCTGACAGCTTCGTAACATGTTACGAAGGCACCAAAACTACTTCGTAAATGTTCAAATGGTTCCTAAATTCGAATTCAGCTCCAAAAACTA